GCACTGCACACACGCTGCCCAGGTTTACGGCTGCTTCTCTCCAGCGCGGCAGGCCACGCCACACCTGGCCCACTTTGAGCCACAGCTGAGGCCGCTGAGGAGTGCTGCACCCGAACATCTGGAGCAGAGACTTGAAGCGAGATCCCTGAGGTCCCTGGGCCCCTCCCTTGAAACTGTTCTGCCCTCAAAGTCCTGGTATTCTGGGCCAGGGATGGGAGTGGCAGCCTGGAAGATCTCTGAAATGTGTATGGGGTCATTCTTCCACAGTTTTGATGAATAGCATCGTCACTTACCCAAACCCTGGTGTTCTCTCCCAAATAAGCCTTTTCTTTCTTTACTACATGGCCAGGCTGTGGAATTTCTAACTCTTTAACATATGCTTCCCTTTGGATTATAAATTCCTCTTCAATGCATTTCTCTTCTCTCCCATTTTACTATCAGCACTCAAGAGAAACCGTGCAGCACCCTGAACACTTTGCTCAGAGATTTCTTCTGGCAAATATTCTAGTTCATTGCCTGAAAGTTCTGCTTTGCACAAAGATTAAGACACGGACACAATTCAGCAAGTTCTTTGCCACTTTGTAACAAGACGGCCTTTCCTCTAGTTTCCAATAAGATATTCCACATTTTAATCTAAGACCTTACCATAATAGCCTTTCCTGTTCATATTTCTAACAACAATCTGATCATGACCACCTAGATAATCTCAAAGAAGACTGAGGTTGTACTCTCATCAAAATCTCCCCTAATCTGTTCACGAAAATCTACTTTCTCAAGCATTCACTTCCAAACTGTTCCAGCCTCCAACCACTGCCAAGTTCCAAAGCCACGCCCACGTTTTCGTGTATTTGTTATTAACAACACCTCACTCCTTAGTACCAATTTGCTTAGTACCAACAGCTATAACAAATACCTGAGACTGAGTAATTTATAAATAACAGAAATGTATTTCTCACAGTTGTGGATCTGTGGAGTTCAAGGTCAAGGCACCAGCAGATTCAACGTCTGGTGAGGGCCGCCCTCTGCTTGCAAGATAACGCCTGTTGCTGCATCCTCCAGAGGGGATGAAGGCTGTGTCCGCACATGGCAAAAGGGACGGGAAGGATAAAAACAAACAAAAACAAGCTAGCTAGTTCTCTTGAGCCCGTTTATAAGGGCTCTAATCCATTCATGAGGTTGGAGCTTTATGATCTAATTATCTCCTAAAGGCTCCACCTCTTAATACTACGACATTGGAGAGTAAGCTCTAACACAGGAGTTTGGGAGGGCATCAGACCATGGCAGATGGCCAGTAGCAATTTTGTTGAACAACACAGCGTTAGCCGCTTAGGTCAAATTCTAACCCCTATCACAGTTGCTGGACCCTAACCCAGCTCCCAAAAGCCTCCTGTGTCTGAGTCAAAAGATGCTCTGCATTCTTGGATACTAAATGCTTTGCTGAGAACACTGGCTCCTCTTTGGACAGGAGGCAGACTCATCTGGGTCTGGACTCCTCCTTTCAGTGCACTTTTCTGCCCTGGATGTTTAATGTCCTGTGTCCCTTTCCCAGGGCCAGGGCAAACAAAGATCATCATAACGAGGCTTTGGTAACGTTGCTCCTGAATTTTTCTTCACATGAAATTTCTCCTCCTCAGGCATTGTTTCTGTGGTGTTACTTCCCGGTTAACAGCTGCAAGGTGGTAGTGAGGTCTGGAGGCATAGTCCAGCCAGCTGTCAGCCTGCGCATGCCCTCTCGGGTGACCAGTGATGACCCGCGGGCTCCTGCAAGTCCTCTGTGTCTGAGGTTTATTGCCCAAGTGAAAAGAGAATTTAAAAATTACGTAACCAAAACAAAGGGTTACGGGGCCTTCAGATGCAAAACAAACCTCTGGAGGCTGTTTGAAGTTGAGTTGATGTTGAGATAAAAACTTAAGAGATAAATGTTTCATGAGCTCTCCAAAGACACTGAGCTTAGAGGACTCAGCCAAGGAAAGGAAGGGGCAGAGGTTGTTGCAAGCCCAGTGAGCCACTACACAAAGAGGACACACAACCCGACAACCACTTCTTCAGGATAAAGGCCTAGAGATAACTCCGAGAGGAGAGTGAGAAAATCGCTGCTGGGCTCAGGAGGCAGAGTGATGCGTGTGACCCAGCATGTGCACAGCAGGGTGGGTGGAGACGCCAGCAGGAGACACCATAAGATAGAAGCCCACAAAGGGGTGTTACGTCAACACCAAAAGCCATGAAGAAACTCAACCAGGAAGACCCACAGTTCCCGGCAATGTCTTAATGACACCCAGTGGAGTGAGACAAGGTACAGAATTTCGAATTGACCATCCAAAAGAGACTATGCTGTAACCTAGAAGACATAGGGAATATTTTTGAATTGGTAAGATTGATTATCTGCTATTAGTAGAAATGAAGGCTTGAGAGCTAAGACAATTTAGAGAGCTAAAGTGCTATTTCTTTCATTTAAAAAGCTTTTTACAATTTTTCTTTTTAGAAACAGGTGCTTACTATGTGGTCCAGGCTGTTCTCAAGCTCTTGGCCTCAAAGGATCCTCCCATCTCGGCCTCCCAAAGTATTATCACAGGCATGAGCCACCATGCCCAGCCCTAAAGTGCTATGTCTGTGCCTGGGTCTGGTGGCCCTTGTGGCTTTGTGTGACATGGTGTGCTGCAGTGAAGTGACGATTAAACTGCCAGTGGCAAGATGCAGTTTCCTGGCAGGAACGGGGTTTCAAGCACAAACCTCCACGAACGAAGGCGCTTAGGCAGCTCACCCACCTGTGCTCCCACTCTTCTTGCCAGCGGCGTCTGGAGGCCTCACTGAGCTCGGGCCTCCTGTGGAGCTGGGCAGTGGCTGCCCGAGGGCCGTGCCACTGCCCAGAGCTGACACTTGACACCTTGATGTCAATGATTGCCACAGAAAACAAAATGATGATTTGGAAGCCTTGCTTATAGTGCAAATTCAATAATACTGAATAAAAGAGCAAACACCTGAGTACTGTGCTAATCAGAGCCACCCTGGACATTTCAGGGAGGGTCCTGTCTAACTCTACAGCCTGCACTCATTGCTTCCGACCCTTCACACCTGCTCCTCAACATCACTCCCAAAGTGATGCACAATGGTACAGCCACTTTGGAAGACAATTTGGAAGTTTCTTACAAAACCAAACATACTCTTACAATATGACCCTGCAGTTGTGCTCCTTGGTACTTATCTGAAGAGCTGAAAACTTATGCCCACATGAAAACCTGCACATAGATATTTATAACAGGTTTATTTATAATTGCCCAAACTTGGAAGCAAAAAAGGTCCTTTCAAGTAGGTGAATGGATATAAATAAAAACTATGGTACCTCCAGACAATGGAATATTATTCATTATTAATTTTAGCACTGAATATTATTCAGTGCTAAAAAGAAATAAGCTATCAAGCCATGAAAAGACATGGAGGAAACTTAAATGCATATTACTAAGTGAAGGAAACTAATCTGAAAAGGCTGCATACCATATGACTCCAGCTATATGACATTCTGGAAAAGGCAAAACTGTGGAGACAGTAAAAAAATCAGTGGTTCCCCAGGGGTTAGGAGGGAGGAGGGATGAATGGGCAGAGCACAGGGTATTTTTAGGGCAGTGAAACTATTCTGTATCTACTACAGTGGTAGACACATTTGTCAAAACCCACAGAACATACAGCACCAAGGTTGAGTCCTAACGTAAGCCGTGGGCTTGGAGTGACAATGACGTACCAGCGCAGGTTCATCAACTGTAACCAAGGAGGCACATGGGGGGCTGTTGATGGTGGGGAGGCTGGGGCAGGTGGGCAGTAATTATTAGATGAAAGATTGTGGGGAGCAAGATAGTCACATGATACCCAAGTACCATCCCAGAGGCTCCTAGTGATTGTAAAGGGGGAAATGTGCCTCTATGATAGAGAAAGCCTGTGGTTGCCTCCTCCTCCTAGGGCCGGATTAGCATCAGTAATAGGCGAACAGCCTGACAGTGGATGTTACGATGTGTCGCAGTGAGGTGTGCAACATCCTGTATAACGTTGTCTTGCCAAAAATGTTTAATCTGAACATAATCAAGCCTCTAACTCTAACTTGAAGGTTGCAGAAGATACAAGAAAAAGAAGTCCAGGTAAATGACAACATGAAAAAAGAAACTGAGAGAATATGGGACATTTTATATGACACCTGGCCTGAACTCTTCAGGAAGTCAGTGATATAGAAATAAATAAATATTTTAGAAAGATGGGGCAGAGCTATTCTGAACAAAAAAGATATTAAAGAGATATCACAACCAGATGCAATACATAAATCTTAATTGCATATTTGGGATAAACAGGGAAATTTTAACATGGATTAATATTAAATGATAATATGGAATTAATATTAATTTTATTAGATATAATCATTTTCTTGGGGTTATATAGGCTATCTCCTTAAAAGATGAGGGCTGAGTATTCACAATACAATATCATGATATCTGCCGTTTACTTTCAAATGGTTCAGCCAGAGATAGAGAGGAGGAGACAGAAAGCTATATAGTAAAATGTTGGGTCCAGTGGTTTGGCTCAAATCTAGGTTCTTGGAACACTTGCGTACCATTTCCTCAAATTTCATGTATGTTGGTAAATTCCCATAATAAAAATAGGGTGAAAACATTGTATCCTGAGCATCAAATTGTTTAGATGAGTCTGCAACTATATTTCACATTGTCCTAACTGAGCTAAAGAAACGTTTATGTCCTCAATGTAGGAATAAAGATTTCTGGGCACTCCCTGGAGGCCGAATGTGACGCCACACCGTCAAGACTGGGAACACACGCCTTGGCAGGACACAGCTCTACTCCAGGCCACCGTGGGAGTTGAAAGTGCAGACTCCATACCACAGACTGCCCAAGCGCGGGCGAAGCCCAGGCAGGCCCTCTGGCTGGCACTGCCTGATCCGGCGCCCACATGGATATTGGAAGGTGTGGGAGGCCGAGCAAAACCAGAGTTATTTAAGAGACAGCTTCTAGCTGCTGACACAAGCTCTGTTTGCTCAGCTGCTGTGAGGACACCCGTGCTGCCGAGTGCAGCATTTCTGCAGGTAAAGTTAGGTCCTTTGGCTTCTCGGGGGAACATTCTAAGAGCCTACTGTTAGGATCAGTGTCTCTCAGCACAAGGCAGTGCAATTTCTAAATAGGGGCGGAAAGGAATTCTAGTTGTCATCTCCAATGTCTCATTATTTCTCTTCTCTAATTGTTCTTGCTCACTTTTAAAGCTTTTGCTGGGGCCGGGCGCGGTGGCTCATGCCTGTAATCCTAGCACTCTGGGAGGCCAAGGCGGGAGGATTGTTTGAGCTCAGGAGTTCGAAACCAGCCTGAGCAAGAGCGAGACCCTGTCTCTACTACAAATAGAAACAAATTAATTGGCCAACTAATATATATAGAAAAAATTAGCTGGGCGTGGTGGTGCATGCCTGTAGTCTCAGCTACTGGGGAGGCTGAGGCAGGAGGATTGCTTGAGCCCAGGAGTTTGAGGCTGCTGTGAGCTAGGCTGACACCATGGCACTCACTCTAGCCTGGGCAACAAAGTGAGACTCTGTCTCAAAAATAAATAAATAAATAAAGCTCTTGGCGGGTTGAGGGGAAGAGGTGGTGAAAAGATGAGAGAGAAAGCTACGAGAGGGGGAGGAGAGGGAAAGCGCGCGTGTGCCAGTGCGCACCAGGGCCGAAGCTGCCAGCACAGCCCTCTCCCGAGCCCTCCTCACACTTCTGTGGTCGAGGCACAGCCCTAAACTGTAGAGGAAAGCTTCCCATACCTTGGCGTTGAACATCTTTAATTATGGCGGGCTGACTGCAAACTTGGTGCCATTGTCAAAGAGGATTCTGGGCAAGTGAAACTAACATTTGTGTGGCATTTTACGATTTATAAAGTTCTTTGTTAACATTTGTTATTTCAATATGTATCACATTTCTGGGGGTTCAATATTATGCCCATTTCACAGATAAACCCACTGAGGCTCAGAGAGGCAAAACTTGCCCTCAACTAGTTGGTGACAGGGCCAGCAGTCGAATCCATGCCTCCAAAGGTGAATCCTTCTCATGCCCCTGCACTAGTGTGATGGTGGTACTAACACTTACCTCAATCTCATGGGCTAGCCTTTAACCCCAAGAACTCAGTAGTACATGCCTGAAAAATGAAAGAAGGTCTTTGTGTTTCAAAGCCCAGTTAACTGGAAGTTATTTTAGGGCATTACATATGTAGTGGTGAAAAGAGTAGAAGTTCTGGCATCATAGAGTCTGGGCTCAAATCCCAGTTCCACTTACAAATAGTGCAACCCTTGGTGAGTTACATCCCTACCTGAGCCTCGTGTTTACCCCAAAGGGCTATTTTGAGGATTAAATAAAAGGCAACATGAAAAGCACACAGTGCCATTTAGTACCTGATAAATGTCTGCTCGTTGTAATGCTTCATGATTGTTTTTCTAACTGCCTGGTTGCCATGACTGCCCAGGGACCCGCCCGGGAGCAATCGTCTCTTCTGGCCAGCACGTCCTACGCCAGGAGTCAAATGTACTTTCTTCCTTTGTTTCAAAACTGAATGCTCTCAGCAGTCTGAGAGTGCAGTCTATTAGTTCAGGGAACATTTAAACAGTGAATGATTGGAGAAATGTCAAAACTCTTGTCCTCAGAGTGTCCCAAAGCATAACAGTATGTTGCTAAAATTTACCGATTGCCATAGCAAGCTACTTGAATTCCTTTCAAGATAAATCATCTACCTTGAGAACAAATTTTCTCTTGAAGAAAAGTTATGAGGAAAGTCCCAATCCTCTTATTCTCTATATAAAATCCTGTGATGCAGAATGCCCTTCTCCATCATACCCATGGTGGTTTTTCATAGATGACAAGATATGGTTTCATTTCATCATTGTAATGATGTTTCTAGAATTGTGCTTGAGCCAGAAAAGTCTACATAAGCTTGAAGAAGAGAGTGAATGTTCTACAGCTTCATCTCTTTCCTGATTATAAATTTGAAATCTGCATTAACTCTTAGTGAACATTGAGGTAAGTGGAAGTCCCTAAAATTTTCCAAGGATAATATCTTTCAGAATATAGTTAATATAAAGATAAAAGGACACATCAGGCTTTATTTATAATATTATTTATACATTATTGAACAACTGCCTAATGAAAGGCAAATTTCTATTAGATATAAGATCATTGAGTGTGTTCATATAATAGAAAAATGACTGGACTGAGAATCCAAACTATTTGTTTGCTAGTCAAATAATACTGGGAAAGTCAAGGCTCAAAGACTTTATGTGTTTAACCGTAAAACTGTCCTAGTAATCTGTGACCTACCTATAGGTTAAATTATGTGTAAGAAAGTGCCCTGTAAATTGGGAAGGTTCCTGTGAACATAAAATATGCTCATAATCATTACTTATAAAATTTGAAAATGCAACAATTTTAAAAGACATATTTTGGAGCATTAATGTCTCAAAGATATTGATAAATTTCCCTGTACTAAATGCTTTATTTGTAGTGTAGTTGTTGTCATAGTGTTACAGATTTATCAGCTATCTTTTTCCTTATTAGGACATTCCTTTCTTCAGTCAATCAACATGAATATGATTGTGGACACCTTCGTGTTTTTGGGAAAATTTCTATATTACCTTTTAGAATCTTTTGCTTACAAGATAATTCCCAAGAGAAAAAAGAATGTTGCTGGAGAGATAGTACTTATAACAGGAGCTGGAGGTGGACTTGGGAGGCTCTTGGCCACACATTTTGCTAGCCTTGGAGCCACTTTAGTTCTATGGGACATTAATCAAGAAGGCAATATGGAAACGTGTAGACTGGCCAAGGAAGAGGGTGCCGTGGGAGTATTTGCATACACATGTGACTGTAGCAACAGGCAAGAAGTCTACAGAGTTGCTGATCAGGTAAGCTGATTGGTGTGCTTTGCTTCTACGCCTGAAAAAAATACTGTATCTCGTATGCACTTTTACAAAGGGAGGAAGAGAGGAGTTTGTCATAAACTTCCCCCAAGATCTCTATGTGTCTCCTACGTAATTCTGCATGTCAGAAATAGGACTCTGTAACGTCCAAAAAAGGAATACAGCACAAAGCAATGCAAGTGGGAATCTGATAAGCCTTCTGAGCCATGTTCCCAGCTGCCCTTCTGGGTGACTCATTCACCTTCAGGAGTTCATAGAACCTGGGCTTAGTCTTGGCTCTGCCACTGGTTGGTTGTGCAATTTTTGTCAAGTTACTCACCTTCTCTAGGTTCCGGTTTCTTCATCTATGACGTGAAAGGATTGAACCAGATAATCTTCACCATATTCAACTTTAACTTAACTTTCTATATTTCACAATTCTAATGCAGATCCATTATCAACATGTACTGAGGATATAAAGAATATGAAATATAAGGTAGGAAAATTAAAATATGCTAAGTGCATTTCCTCCTAGACTTAGCCTATTGATATCTGTTCTAACTCCACACTAAATATTGATAAACACTCTAAATATCTAAATATCAGCAAACACTTATTGTGTAGTTATCACATACTCTAATAGCACTGGGTAAATTTTCAAGTAGTGCTTTAACCATCTTCCCTTGAGTAAGGTGTGGTGAGGCAGATGCAGATTGAGAGAGAGAAGCAGGGTGGAGTTCTAGTTTTGTTACACTCATAGTCCCCCAGGGAGAACACAGCACAGCATGCAGGCCCACAGGAAAGTGCTGGGTCAGTCAAGAGGCAGATGTTTCCATAGGAAGGGATGGGCAAGGCAGGGTAAGCAGGTTTAGCACTGGCTAATCAGAATAATTTCATGGGGCTGACCCTGGCTGTCAAGTACCTGGCCCAGGGGTGACTAGGATGGGCATATAGTGGCACAGAGTGTGAGAGTGCAATAAGTGACGTGGTTGGATGTGTGGACTTAATTGGCTACTCATGAAGAGGAAATGACCAGCCTCTAGCCAGGGTCAAGGTAGCACCAAAAAAATAATAATAATAATTACAAATAGTTACTATTCTAAGAATTTTGTACACATAATAGCTCATTTAATCAACACGACATCACCCTCTTAGGCATATATCATTATCATCATTTCTATTTACAAATGAGGAAACTGAGGAACAGAGTGAATGTGCAATTTGCCCAAGACAATGAAACTAGTGATTGGCAAAGCCAAGATTACAACCCGAACAGGTTGGAGCCAAAGTCTGCTCTCTTATGCATGACACAAAGGGTGCATGCAGTTTCATAACAGAATCCCCAAAGGATTTTCCTTCACCTTGGCAATCTGAGCTTCATGTATAGAATTTGCATATTGATCCATGCAAAAAAATATTGATTTAATCATTGCTCTGGAACACTTACCTTCTGAACCACCTTCGTCACCCTTCTCCTTCTATTTCTATTGCCTCCTTCCCTGTTTGGGGGCCCCACAGGATTTGCTCTTTATAATCCATCACCAGCTAATGTAAATATGTATATTACAGATATCTAAGTATATTTTAGAACACAGCAAGTGGAATCAAAATTAGTCTTCATTTTGCAAAAGAGAAAGACATTGTGGCAGGAAAAGTATACGGATAAGACTCTCGGTGTCAAGCTGAAGGAAACAGTCTGTCTACTTTGCAGGGGCTCCAGTCCCAGTGTCACTAACTAGGCAGGTCTTGATCTTGCAAAAAGTCTTATCTGCTGAAGCATTAGCATATGTCATCTTTTATGATGTCTTTTATATCTATTATATATTATCTCCATTTTATTCATTATGAAACAAAGGCAGAAAGAGTGTAAGGAACTTGTCCAGGCCACAAGCACATAAGTGACAGAGCTAAGCGATGACCCCATCTGGGATCACAGCCCCTGCAATCCCCAAAGGGCCATCAGCAAATGTGTGAGCAATGGAAAGAACCCTCCATAATCCTCTTCCTTTGATCAAAAGTATTGTTAATTGCTTCTCCCCACCCCATCTTTCCTTCTTGATTAAAATTTGCTTGCTATCTAGTAGAAAACCAAGTGAAAAATTTTAACCTAAAATTATCTTTTCACCATTGAAATGTATCTTAAACATTCCTTCTTTTCCACAGTCCTATAAATAGAATTTGTATAAATCAACTACTTTTTGTCTGCTTTTTTGTTTAATTTCCATTACTTACCAACTCCCAAGAAACCCAAATACTAATGTTAGACTTTACCTACAAAAATTTCAACAAGCCACAGGCATTACTCAAATCCTTGAAATTTGTGAGGGAGTCAAATAGCAATGACAGCATTTTAAAGGGGCACAGTAATTAACGTCCCAAGATTAGGTTAAGGTAACATGCTAATCTCCAACATAGGAAGCCCATATACAAATAAATTGGTTTTTGTTGGAATAACCAGGTTTGCAATTTATTCCCAAATTTCCAGGTCCAATCAATCAGTAATAATTATTTGTATATGTGTGTGTGCATATGCACACATATGAGATTTGTTTGTTACAGCAATAATCATTTTGGCTAAAGACAGTAGTAAATTTGGCTGAAAACAGCTTTTGTGTATGAATCCAAATTGATCATGAATCACTGCTGTTCCTCCCAAAAGCTTTGGGTCTTTTGGGAAGATCTTAATTCTTAATTTCTCAGAAACTCTGTTTCCTTGTCTGTAAACTAGGATAATAATAGCTTCCTAAACTGCCTCTCAGAGTTACAGTGACAATTAAATCTTAGGATCTAGATAAAATTCCTCTTGGCTCTGATGTCCCCAAGGCTCAGGGCTTCTTGAAGTGGATGACGGCAAATACTGAGTTTTTCTTACGTATTCAGGAAAGCCTTAAGCCAAAGATTCCTCCTCCTTCTTAGGCCCCTGTATCTCTCTCGTTAGTCTAAGATGGAGTACGTGCTCACACTGATTACTTCACCAAGCCAGTGGGATGCCTTTGTTTTAAAGTTAGCCTCTTGTGGATGTTTTCCTCTGTTCTGCCTCTCTCCAAAGTAGAGGAGTCTAATCCCTCAGTTGAACCGCAGCTCAAGCATTGCTTGCCCTGACTTGGTTTTCTGATTCCTGGTCCATGGCGGGTGCGCTGCTATGTGTTGAGCCTGCCAGGTAACACGATTTGGAGATATTAGGTAGATATTGCTGCTGATGTAGTTGGCTGGAATGAGCTAGGAAAGGAGGAGTTCATACTGCTGAGCTGCGGTTGTAGATCGTGCGAGCAGGCCACGTGGACAGTTTAGAGGGAGCGCGAGGGAAAATGCTGGGGACTGGCAAGGCACAGTAGCAGCAGCGCCGCTGCGGACCTCTGGGAAGTATCGGTCACGGACAGGACATAAATCGGGCGTGGTGCCTGGGGCAGAAGCCACGGCGTCCCAGAAGTCTGTGGGCAGTGGAGCAAACGCACCCGCGTTTGGAGCGGCCTCATGCCAACACCGGCTTGCAGGGGGCTGGCCGCGCTCTCACCGTCCTGCTCGCAGAGGCGTCTGGGAGAAGACGCCACGGAGGGCCCGCAGCGCGCGGCCGTGCTGTCAGAACACAGGGCGCCATCTGAAGGCGCCGTCCCGAGCCGCCGCCGTCCCGGAGTCGCTCAGACCCCGCCGGTCAGTGGCCGGGGAAAGGGCACGGGCTCGGCAGCGACGGGAGGCAAAGGCAATATGCTGCCATATACGGCAGGAAATCTCCACACAAAAATCAGGATTCTTTAGAGAAAACTGCCAAATCAAAGTGTGTTTTTCTAAAAATATAATTCCTCACAAGGTTACAACTGCCAGCTTTCTATATTTCAAGATAAAATATCTAGTTTTAAACAAACTACCTGAACAAAATGAGAAAAAACAAAAACAAAAACGTGACTTAGGAAAACAAATATCAAAATGCAATACTTCGATTGAATTAACTTTGGTCTCACTTCTGACCAGGTCGGAAAAGAAGTTGGCGACGTGACCATCCTCATTAACAACGCTGGCGTCGTATCGGCAAAGCTCCTCCTCGACACTCCGGATCACATGGTGGAGAGATCCTTCCTTGTAAATGCCATCTCTCATTTCTGGGTGAGTCTTCTTTCTCTTCCATTTTTCTTTACTGGGCTTTATGGAAATTCCACATATTTCTATAAACATCTGTTCATGCATTTGCCTGTAAATAGACCATTGGGAGTTTTCTGTCGATGGGCTGGTGGGGTCCCATCCTTGCTAGGTTTCACTCTGCCACTCCCATCTGTATTTTTCCTGACCTTGCCCTATTCCAAATTCTCAGAGAAATTCCTTTCCCTCCACCCTCTCTGGTTTGGTCCCAAGATTATTAGGTTGTTCAGAAACCTTCCTACCGAAAGACAAACTGAGAATGTGACAGCAGTTACACGGGAGCTTCAGCCTACTCGTGAGAGAAAGAGGAGTGTGTGTGGAGAGCAGAGATATTTAGAGAGGGGCAACATGCATGCCAGACTGTGTCCTCACGGCGGAAACAAAGACAGCCAGCAGTTACTGAGCGCTTACTCCACACTGGGCACTTCTCTAAATGCTTTAACCACAGAGCCATCTTCATTCTCATTTACAAATAAGGAAACTGAGGCCCCACGTGTTTAAATAAATTCCCCAAGGTCACGCCACTGGTAAGAGGTGGCACAAGCTTATACAAGGAAGAAGTGAGAGAGGAGGGACTCTCGACAGAAGGGGAATTCGTGAATTTATAACTCAGAAATGTCTTCCCGAGGCCTGGAGTGGCTGGGCAGCTCTGCTGGGCAGGACTGTCTCTGGCGATGGAAATGTGCTTCAGCTGTGCTTCCTGGTGCGGTAGCCTCTGGTCATCTGTGACTATTGAGTGCTGGTAATGTGATGAATGGGACTGAGTCACTAAACTTTTAACTATATGTCATATAATTCACTTAAATGCGTGCTTAAATAGCCACACATGCCTAGGGGCTGCCTCCTTGGTCAGTGCAAGTCTAGAAAACGGGTAAGAATCAAAGGAGACGTGAGCTACCAGAGGCATTTCTACTGGGAGGTCTCTCAGGACGACAGGTGGCTGGACCCGGGCCATGGAAGACATGGGGAAGGAGGGGCAGGAAGGACTGGACTTTAGTCCTCTGTGTTTCTGAAAGTAGGACCAACCCTGAAATGGGCTTGCTTCAAGTGTCCCTGCTCCTCCTTCTTTCCACTCTACACTTGCGTACCAGTCTCACAGCTGCTTCCTCTGTCTTCTTTCTTGGTTACTGGGAAGCCAGTGGGAGCCCCAGTGGGCACCTAGCACAGAGCTCGACATGTAACAGATATTCTATAAACATGTATGAAAACTATTGCTTCCCTTTCCTATCGCCCACCCCAAAATCTTTCCTTTAGAAAGGGGAAATACCAGCTTGGTCGATGTAGCTAGGGTGCACCCGTTCCTAATCACACGCAAACCTAGAGATCATCCTTGATTCCTCCCCCCAGCATCCCTGGCCCTCCCGGCATGGCATGCCCAACCACACTTCCCGCCCAGCCATCCTCATGTCTCGCCAGCACTCCTCGTGGCCTTGCATCTTCCATGCTGGTGCCTTCTCACCTGGCTTCATATGGAACAAGGTGATTCTAAACACATCAATCAAATCATCTCACTCCCCCACTCACACATATTCAGACGCTTCCAAATGTACTTAGAATAACCTGTAAGCCCATGCAGGACGTGGCAACATCCTTCCTTGTCTGTCTCCCATCTCTCATTTTCTCTACTTTCTGCTCACTTTTATACTCCAAGGATCCTGAATAAAGCCCACAACACATTGTCTCTTTCTCATTTGAGGGTCTTTGCACAAGCTGTTCTCTCTCTGACAAGAACATTCTTTCTCCTGACTAACGTAGTAGCTCCCTCTCATTCTTCAGGCCTCATGCAGTCTCTGAATTTTTTCCTTTATGTTGTGTGTATTCTGTTGTTGCTTTGTACCACCTACATAGTTAACAGTAAGAGATATTAATAAACACACATAAGCCTTCTTGTTGTGTGTCAGCAGATCTAGAGACGATGATTCTGAGTAACCAATAAAACCAGGGAATCAACTTCCATCTGAAGATTATGGAAGGAATCTTCATTCATCTTAGAAGTCAACAGATTTTTAAAAAATTTTTCTACAGCTCCTATTAGCTCATTTATTCTGTGGCTAGGAAACCAAACCCAAGAAATATGTCTCCACTAGGTTTTGCTTGCAGTACTTCCAGTGAGAAGTTTCCTTTATTTCTTGATGTAACTCAGACCTGCCAAGGTTCCTGGCCTGCTAGCAAGTGACTTCCCTTACAACCTAGAAGGTTGGAAGGGGTTGTGGAAGCCATAGAACAGGTATCAGTCCAGTTTCCTGGGGAGGCAGCTTGGTTGGCATCAGTTCCACATATTAACTACAACCAGTGTTCCTAAAGTGTGGGCTTATCAAATGTGATCACATGAAACTTATTCTTAAATAGGGAACACCTATGCTATGGTTGTGTTATCAAGCTTACCGAACATATGTGTACGTCCCTCACCACGAAAGATAAAGGATCTCAGAACAGCCATTGGGACTGCCTACTGCCCCAAGTAGATTTGTGAACAAAGGCAATTAATACCTGTTATGTTATATTAATACCTGTTATCTATAAAATGGTTTGATTGTTTATGGATATATGGTGATTAGAATAAGTCAAATTTTATTCCATATGTTTTTCTAAGCTTCATCCATTGTGAAAATATTCATCTGAATTTCAAGTACTAGAATTATCATCATTTCTTTGATGACTCACTCAATTTATAATCTAAACTAAGATTTCCTATAAGGCATTCTCCCCGAATTCAAGGGATATCAGTTGGATTAAGACACCGTCCAAAAAGAGTTTCTTTCCAGCTTGCACAACTATAGCTTCCTGGAGAGAAGATTAGAAATAGATCAAGAAGAAAGAAAAAGGGCTTCTTCATATGCTTATCAGAAAATATAGCCTCGGCCACATAAAATTTCCCTTTGATTCCATGATCCAGTGGTATGTAATTAATTCTGCTCTGCTCCAGCCTGGCCAGGGTCTGCTTTCACACAGCCATCTGCTCCTGGACCAAGCAGATTCCACTGACCTGATTCAGTGCTAGGCGTAGCCTTACAAGGGTCTTCTCACAGCAGCAATGGCGCTCACACTAGGATGCCTATACCAGTAAGTCCGTCCTGGGTGCAGTCTAAGCCACATCGTGATTTTGAGTATGTCCTACTGTGCCTTGTCTTCACAAGGCTCAACTTCTGATGTGTAGTATCAGAAGCCTTCAAGCAAGAGGAAGGAGCCCAGAAACTTCCTATGGGTGATAAAACTGAATGGCTCTAGTTAATCCATTTCAATAGCCAAAAAATACCAAATTAGAGAACGTAGAAACTGCTACTGGGGTGTAAGGCATAGCTATTTTATAAGGCTTTGGTTAATTACTACAGCTAGAACACAGACAAAGCCCCAGGCTCTTTCTATGCATCCCAGCAAGTGGGCAGTCTCTGCTGCAACATATCTGTGTTAATAAATTCACCCCAGAAAGGGTGAGTTTCTCTTTTGGATTTGATGGTTCTTCCTCCACATTTCCTCATGGAAGGTCCTAAAATAAGGTTCAGCTAATTAAGAAATGCAGCACACCAAATGTACCACATGTTTCTAGTACCCCTGTTGCTGCTGTTGGCCATGTCACGAATTTCGGGCTAGGCAGCAGGTCATGGTCACCTAAGAAGTGCCAGAGGTAACTTTGAATGCAAAATACCTCCACAGTTTTATTTTTCTAAACAAAAATTCCTGAATGGTTGTAAATGGCTACCTTAAGAGCCAGAGCAACAATAATTTTGTTTTTTTAAAATAAACCTAACAGCAGTTAACAATATAATTATTAAGGGACTTTAGATCTTTGAAATGTGACAATTTTTGATTATTTGATTTAATAATATTTGGTTATTTGATTTAATGGTATAACAAAAGTTAGTTAGGGCTCAAGTGCTCAGAGTAAGTATATTCTGACAAGATAAGAATCTCTGCTCTCAGGGCAGACTATACAAAGGTGAAGAATAATCTTTTAATCCCTCTTGTTTATAGCAGACTAAACACTCCAGGACCAATTTTAAGCTACCAGGCCCCTCATCTTTATCATATATAGTTCCTTTTGCTCATTAACTTTAGTATGTGCTTCTATATGTACATGAGCTTAAACATACAAAATATATATACTTATGTAACAATATTATTTTAGCTTTCAACAATAACTTTAAAATATAAATAACTTTATCATCATATTAAAAAGCAAAGTATATACTATTAATACTTTGAATTTACCATCTCAATTGAAGCTTTACAAAAAAATAAGTCAAAACTGTGCTTGGTGACTTGATACCTTTTCTCTATTAACATAAATTTTAATTTTTTAAAAAATTTTATCGATAACCAAAGATTTCTTATAAATTGACCCAACTTAATATGATATTACCATAAATCTTCAAGTAATTTAAGTCAACACTACAAAGCAACATGATCACTGGTGATATTAAAAGATTATCAAAGAGGTGACATTGAAAAATTATAAGATAATGCAAGAGGAGTTGATGTGGGCAAATCTCGAAACTAGTAGGCCAAATGGGTTTTTGGCTTTATTCAGGAAAGAATTCAAGAGCAAGCCAACAGAGTAAAGCAAAAGCAAGTTTATCCAAGTAACCAAGAAACTAAAGGAAGGTCACTGCACAGGCAGGGCTGCTGGCAGGCTATATTTAAGGTTATCTCCAGATTGTGTATTAAGTAAGGGGCAGAATATTCGTGGATTTGGGGGAAAAGGTGTGGGGAGTTTTCGGAATTGAGGCTTCCTTCCCTTTTTAGGACATTTAGAGTAACTTCTGGCAGTTGCCATGGCATTTGTAAACTGTCATGGCACCGGTAGGAGTTTCTTTTAGCTTGCTAATGTATTATAATTAGTGCATAATGAGTAGTGAGGGTAACCAGGAGTTGCTTTCATCATCATCTTGGCTTTAGCTGTTTTGGCTGGCTCCTTTACTCATCCCGCTTTATTAGTGGGATGATATGATCTGTGTCTTGTGAAACTAGTCCTTGCTGATCTCTTCTCTCACTCCCCCTCTGAGATTATATACTCCTCCTTAATCTTAAGGGATTGTAGAAGGACAGGGTCTATCTTCTCTCTAACGTGCTGATGTTATGGGCATAGGCCCTGTCTAATATTAGTGGAGTATAAATCTGTGGATACCTGATCCAAAGGTCCCCAAGGCAGGATGTTTTTTTAATTTTCTGGATAGGAAGTTGGGATGGTTGGAAGCCTTCTGCCAGCATCATGTTTATGTGGAATTGTACTCTAGAAGACATAAACTTTATAAGAAGGTTGAACAAGTAAGGGCTAAAAAGCAACAATGATAATACAGCTGCTAAGAGTCCCAGTAGAAGCAGAAACCAAGTGGCACTTGGTAGGTATTCTTTAATAGAGTCCCAGATGGTTTGAACAAAGGGGTTATTGAAATTACATACAATTTAGCCTATTGGTAGATTTGTAGGGTGTCTACTTTTACTTCCTTGGAAGTGTTGCCTCATGTGCAAAATGAGGTGTTGATAACAGCATAAACTCTCCCTTTTTCAGTTGTTCAACACAACATCGGCCAAGGAGTCTAGGGAGATACGCAGTATTTGAAAGGGCATTCCCTCTTCTTTGTGGAGGGCAGGGAGGGAAAAGAAAAGAGACATTTTATTACTTTGGACTTCCCAGATTCCAACCTCATGGTACTTTCTCTGGATGGGTAACCCTGAGGCAGCAGAGGTCTTAAAGGAGCCACCAACAATTGTGCCTTTGGGGTCTTTCTTAGTTTTCTCCACTTCCTTTGCTCTGTCCCTATTGCTGTAAACTCCAAAGCCCATTTCTAAACGTTGGCTCATGGAGTTTGGGGTCCTATTTCTATTAGAAATAGACTGAATGATAAAATACATGCCCAGAAGAGCACATCCTTCTGAAGGTTCAGGGTCTGCATTTGTATAGTATGTTTTCTAAGCACCTCTGCTAGACAGCCCTGAAACAGAGCAGGGTTTGTATCCTTTCTCTGGGTCACTTCCCTAACCCTTCATAGTTGACCAGCTTGATCGCACCCTTTTCACACCTTGTATCAGACACCTTATGGTGTGGTTCCTGCGGTTGAGGTCTTGGGAACCTCTCTGGTAGTCACACTGGGATCAAGGTCTAGGACCACATTTCCCCACATGGTAGAAGACGTGGCCCTGATTTTGAGTGGCTGTTGCATCTGTGTGCTCATGAGCAGTACCAGGCATCCTCTGTTTCACCTCCATGGTACAACAGGTGGACAGTAAGATCTGTAAGTCATGCCAGGTCGGGTCAGAGGACATAGTCAACGTAACAAATTCCTCAATAAGCTTTCCTGGATCCTCCAAAAACTGGCCAAATTTTTCTTTGCATAAGGCTGAATTAGACTTAGGAAAAGGCACATTTACTCTGATCAACCCACCACCTCCATCAGCCACTTCCCACAAGTGCATAGGTTTGATTCAAGAGATTGTTACAGGGCCCCACTCTTGGTGGTGCCAGTAGGGCTGACTTCCTCAGGCAACAGGGGTATAGACTGGGGCCTGCTGGATAAGGGGGAGGGGTATCTAATGACCTTGGGGCAGAGACCTGTGCAGGAGAACACACCTCAGAGTTGGGCGACTGAGGAGGCTGGAGGGGTGGGCACAAGCCTTCTGGAGGGGTCAGCTAAAAGGGGATCACCTAGAATGTCCCCCACAGTTTCTTGGTGCCTGGGAATAATTCAAGTCAGAAACATCCTACAGCTATTTCTCTAATTTAGATCTTGGTTGAGGGCTGTAGGAAGTCCCTCACAAAGTCTCTTATGAAGGCTGTATATAGGGGACTTCTCATTTCCCCCTCTTTTTATGGAATAACTCCAATTGTAAAAATATAGTCTTAAAACTATATATATATATATATAGTTCTAAGAACCAATTTTGGGCCAAATTCCCTGGTCTCCAAGCTGGTACTGGGACCAGGCAGTATTGCGATAGAAAATAAGCCTTTTCCTTTTTAGACTTTCTAGCTTAAATTTTCCCAGTTGTTGAGGCACCCTAGCGGGGAATCCTTTGGGATGCTTGCAAATGTCCCCATGTCTGATCAGGGTTTTGGTTTGACACAAGGGTCTTCCTAAGCCTGGCAAAAAGCAGTTGTCTGGTCTTTCAGATTCCCACCTCCCTCTCCTCAAGAAAAGAAAGGAGCAATAGAGCCGCAAGCGCTTGCCAGGGGTAGGGAGACAAGGAGGCTCGCACGGCATGGCGCACCTTCATTATACAAAATAAGTTGGCCAGAAGAATGAGGCCCATGGGGTCCAGCAAACAGGATATAACAAAAAAGATATTTGAGTAAACAAGACAACTGACAGGGAGTGACATTTGGTTGTAAAAGTTGTGAGTCTTCCCTACAAATAGAGCAACGAGGACCAAAAAGACAATTATAATCTGGAGTGAAAGCTGGCAACAAAAGAAATTAGCTTGTCGGAATGCCAACAAGCTGAAGTCTCCAAATAGGCTAAACAGACAAAGTTCCAAAAAACCAAAGATAAATCTGGAGCCTTAGGGTTTTAAATAGGTGTCACTGATCTATATGATGATAATCATAAAGCAAAGTAAATTATTTAAGTTCTGTTCCTTCTGATGGCTATTGTGGCCATGGCAGAGCAAGCAACCCTGAGGATGAAAATTGACCAGTTGCTGGGGAAAGAAATAAGTCTTGACCTCGGGACAGACTGAGAGGGACCACCGAGAATGGGCCACGTGGCAACAACAGCAAAGAAAACATTGACAAGGAGCACAAGGGGGTTCGATATCCAATAAAAATGAAATAAAACTGGGACTGGCTACTAATGCAATTACCAGACCTGAATACAGGGTGAGAAGGCGGAAGTGAATGGTAATGATGGGACAAAAGAGAACAAAGGTCCCCAAATAGGGTTTAAAAAACAAGCAATGACACGACACGCAGACAGAAAGAAAGAATTTCCTTAACAACAGGCTTCCCCAAGTTTCAGGACTTACTGCCAAAGAACCCAGAGCATCCACGTTTCAGCCAACTATGGTCCCCAGTGACACGGGGTCTATCAGAGACTAGGATCATGGCATGGGGACTTAGAACACTGAATTGCTATATTGCTTGAGGATGAATGAGTAAAGTTTACTAAAATGGCTAAGAATATATTATACCTAAGTCATGGTAGACAATTCCAAATCATTTTATTTACCAGAATGAGTTTACCTTGCTTTGAAATTCACCTTTCCTCAAGCAATTTCTCCTTCCTCAAGCAATTTCTCCCATTCTGCCAATCCCCATTGGGATGAGGGCAAATCTTGTTTATGGTAAAGCCAGAAAGGTAAATGCATTAAATTTTCATACAAATTGCTGAAGACTATATGGAAGAGCTCAGCATACTAGAAAAATTAGGCTTTAAGATTTTTAGCCAACCATAAATATAAAATGTTCATATAGTTTACTTCAAAGGAAAAAGAAATCAAATAATATCTCATAGATTAACACATAATAAACTCTAATAACCTTGAGAATAGTGACTATATGGTACCTGCTTTTATATTGCCCCAGAATTTAACACATCAGAACTGTTAAATAAGTATTTGTTAAATGAATTAGTAAATTTTCATCAAATATTTATTGAGCAAATAAAGTAATAAATCAATGAAATGTTGACACAGTGTATTTATACCTTCCAGACTTACAAGGCCTTCCTTCCTGCCATGATTAAAGCTAACCATGGTCACTTGGTCTGTATTTCAAGTCTAGCAGGACTAGCTGGTATTAGTAGACTATCAGGTGAGTACTTTGTTTTGCCACGTACATGATTTGTATTCCCCAATCCACAGCACTCAAAAATTAGGACTCTTCCAAGATAGACAGAAGCTCTTCCTGCACCAAGGGAAATCTCTGGAACATTAGGCTCTGTTTATAATGTCAGCATTCACTTCTATTTCCATAAAAAGAGATATTCTCATCTTTAAAAAAAAAAAAAAAGAAGGTACCTATCGGCTCATTGGTATTTTGGGGTTAAGAAAAATCCAAATGATTTCCATCTTTTTGTTGGGATAGAGTGTGGAAAAATGTGGGACAGGGGTGGAGTGTTTGCCCACATAAATAACTTTAGCAGTGATGCTTTGTCCCCAAGAGCAAGCCAAAGAAAGGGGGAGGGGTTCAATTTTTAAAATAATTCCAAGAATTAACTTGTGAAACTCTATTACTAATAGCTCCTCATTTTGTTTCAGATTATTCTGCAAGTAAATTTGCAGCCTTTGGCTTTGCTGAATCTCTCTTTTTTGAATTAAATGCATTAAAGAAAAGTGAAGTTAAAACCACCATCGTGTGCCCATATTTCATCAAAACTGGAATGTTTGAGGGCTGTACAACCAAGTAAGTGAACGCTTATAATAATCTTTGCTCTTATAATTATTTTCTGATATATGTCATCACCTGATCAATTTTAAGTTTTGAAATATGGACAGTAAAATGAAACAATTTGAATGATTAATTTAATAAAAGAAAAAATTTCTGTATGTATGAAATTCATAAATTTGTTCAATTTAAAGATAATATATTTATAAAGTTTATGATGTGGTAAAAAAACTAAACAGAAATACTAATCAAAATATTAAAATATAACAGATATATTGATAGTGAGAACTTTTTAAAATATTTAGTATGGTAGTATTGAGAAAATAATTTTTTCCTAAAAAATCGTATAAACAACTACAAAACTAAAATGTTTTGTAAGAATGATTAAGATATGTGGGGAAGTATTACAGAGAGAGATTTTGGTATAAAGGTTAAATTTGGCTAGAACAGTCCAAACTAGAATGCAAATGAGATGTGAGAGCTTTTACACAGGGAGCCAATTAGTTGAGTATGTTGAAAAGTGTAAATTAGATATGAGGACAATTGTTTAAAATGATACTGATATGATCCAAATGACATGAATCATCTATGTTTGTAAAAGAGAGAGACAGCCACTAAAAAGGCTGGCAATGAAACTATTTATAGTCCAGTGATACTATAAAATTAAATAAAGAGTTCCAAAACCAGTGGTGAAGAGTTGACAGAATGTAGAAAGGAAAGATCTCTCCCAAAGAGACATCTACTAAGCTGGACAAAATTAGCAAAGACAATCATTTAAAATCTTGGGAGACTGATCAAAGGACATGCCACAAATTCAGATGTATCTCTTCAACAAAATCTATGGAAATTCAATAAGAACACTGGAAGGCCATGGCACTGAGGCTAGAGACTACATCCCTGCTTTGTGGGATAACTGTTTCAGTAGACTTGGCAATCAAGTGGCAGTTCCCACCTGTGTCAGCTCTCTGCGGTGAAAGAGCTATTCTGGATAGTTTGGCAGCAGGGAAACATGAACAAGTCCCATTTTGACAGCTCCATGCAGTAGAAGGCCTATACTGGGTGAATAACCTCATCCAGATAGTGCTTGTTCCTCCATCCCAACTCCCACTAGATAGGGAAAATCCAGAGAAGGGCTGTTGGTGAAGAGGGCAGTTCCTTTTCCCAGAACAGCTCTTTCTTGTGAGAGAACTGCTCCAGTAAGCTCAGCAGTCAAGTGGCAGGTCCCACCTTCCCCAGCTTCTTAAGACAGAAGACCTGTTTGGGTAGATTTAAAAGCAATTAATATCAGCAGACCACATCCTCCCAGGTTCTGGGCTGTGGGAGATCCATACAGGCTGATGGCAGCAGCTGGTTGGCAGCACTATTTCCTGCCATCCTTTCTCCAGCCTTCACATCCTGACTAATGGGGACAATTTGGGTGAGTAGGTGGTGAAGAGTGAGTTTCCTATCATGTTTATCTCCTGATCCATAGCACAGATGTTCTGCCAGGTGAGTGTCAAAACCAGCCTCAAAGATTGGCAACTCTCCACCCTGCCACAGGACCTGACTTCAACTGGATCAGAGCATGAATCAAAATACAAAAAGAACAGTATAGCCAGATAGAAAATTGTGGAGGTTAAGAGCTTGCTGTGATATGAGTAGAAGCAGACCAGCCAGAAGTTTAACTAGGAGATTAAGTGAAATAGAAAGTAAATCATTGCCTTTCTAAAACTACAGTCATTCCTGACAGTCAGAAATGCTGTATGCATATCCAAGACTGCATCCTCTGAGGGATGACATAAAAGCTACACATTGACAGTAGAAGAGAGAAGTAGACTTTACTGAAATAGTCTACCAAGTCACTAAATAAGCAAGCAAACAACCATAACAACAAGCCCCATGGGAAAGTATTATACAGAGTTCCTAAAATATATTATCTGTAATACCCACTTTTTAGCAAAAAAAGTTATGAGATATGCAAAGAAATAGGAAAATATAACCTATACAGAAAAAAACATAGACAATAGAAATTACTTTTAAGGGGATCCACATGTTGAACTTAGCAAACAAACTTCAAAGAGCTATTATAAATAGGTTGAAAAATCAAAAGGAATCTATGTTTCAAAAGAAAAAGAAAGTATGAGGACAATGTCTCATCAAATCTTAATAGATAGAAATGTAAAGAAAAAATCAAATATAAATTTGTGAACAGAAAAGAAAAATAACTGAAAAGAAAGATTCACTAGAGCAGCTCAATAGTAGAATTGAACTGGCTGAAGAAAGATTGAGTGAACTTGAAGACAGATGAATAGAGATTATGCAATCAGAAGAAAAGAGAGAAAACAAAATGAAGAGAAACAGAGCCTTAAAGAAATCTGGGACACCATTAAATATGTAAACATATATATAAGGAGAATAACATAAAGAAAGGGTACAGAGAAAGGAGCAGGAAAAAAATATTCAAAGAAACAATAGCTAAAAAGTTCCTAAATTTGATTTTAAAAAAACCATTAATTTTGATATTCAAGAAACTCAATGAACTCCAAGTTCACTGGATAAACACAGGGTGTCCCACACCCAGATATGTTATAAAATATTGAAAGACAAAAACAAAAAGATAATCTTGAGAAAAGCAAGAGAAATAAATATCATCATATACAAAGGAACCCAAATGTGATTAACAGCCAACTCCTCAACCAAAACAATGGAAGTCAAAAGGCAGTGGGATGACATATTCAGAGTACTGCGGAGAAAAAACTATCAACCAAGAATCTTATATCCAGCAAAACTATTTCTTAAAAATGAAGGCAAATCAAAGTGGAGAATTTGTTGCTTAGCATCCTACCTTACAAGAAATACTAAAGGAGTTTCTTTACCGTAAAAGTGAGTGATACCAGAGAATAATCTGAATCCACATGAAAAAAGCAGAGTGACAGTAAAAGTAATAAAGTAGGTAATTTTTAAAAGATAGTATGAATGCATATATATTCTTTCTTCTCTTGATTATAAATACAATTGCATAAACAATATGTACATAATAGTATTGTTGGGCCTACAACATATAGAAATGTAATATTTTTGCCAATAAGGGAACAAAGGAGCTGGGTGGAGACAAAGCTGTATTAGAGTAAGTAAATGACACCAGATGATAACTCAAATCTATAGGAAGAGATGAAAACTGGAAATGGAGAAGTTTGATATAATAAACTCTATAAATATATACATGTTCTCCTTTATTCTCTCAACTTCTTTAAAACATAAAATCTATAAAATAATAACTTCAACAAAGTGTTATTGATTTTATAACATATATAGACATAATATGTATAATAATAGCATCAAAGTGGGAGAAGTCATACAGCTATATAAGAGTAAGTTTCTATGTCTTACTAGAATTAAGAGAGTATAAATCTGAAGCTGATTCTGATAGGTTAAGATGCATATTACATGCCCTAGAAAAACCACTATGAAAATAACTTTTAAAATATAATTTTAAAAAGTATTAAAGGATGCCCCTGTGATCAAAAGGGCGTAACACACTATAAGCTAAGTATTCCTAATAGACATCTATGGAACACTCCACCCCAAAACAGCAGAATGTACATTCTTATCAAGTACACATAGAACATTCTCTGGGATAGACTATATACTGAGCCATAAAACAACCAACAATAAACTTGAAAAGAATGAAATCATACAAAATATGTTCTCCAACTAAAATGAAATGAAATTAGAAATAAAAAAGTAATTTTTTTGAATTTACAGATATATGAAAACACAACATATTAGAATTTATGTGATACAGCTAAAGCAGTGCTTACAGGGAAATTTGTAGCTGTAAATGAATACATTAAAGAAAGATTTTAAATAAATACCTAACCTTCCAACTTAAGAAACTATAAAAAAAAGTACAGTAAATCCAGAGCAAGCAGAAATAATAATAATAATTATAGCAGAAATATATGAAATAGAGAGTACAAAACTAGAGAAAATCAATGAAACCAAAAGTTGTTTATTTGGAAAGATCAACAAAATTAATAAAACTTTAGCTAGACTGACAAAGAAAGAAAAAAAAGAGAGAAGACTTAAACTACTAAAATCAGTAATAAAAAAGAGGGGAAATTACTACTGGCATTACGGGGAAAAAAAAGGATCATATGGAAATACTATTAAAAAACTAGCATGCCATAAAACTATTTAATAGATAAGTTAGATGAAATGGAATAATTCCTAGAGAGACACAAACTAACAAAGCTTATTCAAGAAGGGAAAAAACATCTGAATAGACTTAAAACAAAGATATTAAATAAGTAAGCTAAAAATATTCCCGCAAAGAAAAGCCCAGATCCAGATGGCTTCATGGGGAATTCTATCAAATACCTGAAAAAGAACTAATACCAATATCTTTAAAACTCTTCCCCCAAAATAGAAGAGAACTGAACACTTCCCAACTCACTCTATGAGGGCAGTATTACCTTGATACCAAAACCAGACAAAGACATCACAAGAAAATAAAATTAAAGACCAACACTTCCTATGAACAGAAACACAAAAATCCTCAAGAAAATACTAACAAACTGAATCCAGCACCATATAATAATAGTAGTATTCCATGATCAAATGGGATTTATCCTGGGCATGCAAGATTGGATGAATATCTTAAAAGAATTTAATGTAATACATCATATCAGTAGACTAAAGGACAAAAGCTGCATGATCATCTCAACACACACAGAAGAAGCATTTTATAAAATCCAATGCTCTTTCTTGATATAACACTAAAGAAAATAGAAATATTGAGGAACATCTACACACTATAAGCAGCATCTGTGAAAATCACACAGCTAATATCATACTTAGTGGTGAAAGACTGAATACCTTGCCCTAATGATCAAGAACAAAACAAGGATATTCATCTTCACCAATCTGATTGAACTCCTATTCAACAGAACATTTAGGCAAAGTGTGAAATAAAAAGTATTCATATTGGAAAGAAAGAAGTAAAACTATCTTTATTCTCAGATGACATGACCTTGTATATAGAAAATCCTGAGGAATGCAACATAAACACACATAAACACTCAAGTATTATCAATGATATATATATCTCTTTGAAATGAATTCAGCAGGGTTGCAGAATCAATATATAAAATCTATCTATAAAACTCTTTATTATTTCTATACACTTGTAATGAACAATCCAAAACAAATTATAAAACATGTCCATTTACAATAGCATCAAAAATAATAAAATACTTAAACATAAATTTAACATAAAAATTACAAAACTTACACCATGAAAATTACAAAATATCTTTGAAAAAGATTAAAGAAAACTTAAATAAATAGGAAAAATCCCATGTTGGTAGACTGGAAGACTTAATATTATTAAGATGTCAATACTTCCCAGACTAATCCACAGATGTAACACAGTTCCTATCAGAATTCTGTCTTTTTTGCAAGAATTGACAAGTAGCATTTAAAAAATGAATTTATATGAAATTTATATGAAAATGCAAGGGACTCAGAAAGCCAAAGCAATCTTGAAAAGGAAGAAGAAAGTTGTACCAAATCACATTTTTCTATTTCAAAACTTACTGCAATCTCTCACCATACACAAAAACCAAATCAAAGTGGATTGAAGAATTGAATCTAAGACCTGAAACTGTGAGACTACTAGAAGAAAACGTTGAGGAAACATTCTAGGACATTGGTCTGGGCAAAGATTTCTTGTGCAATACCACAAAAGCACAGACAACTAAAGCAAAAATAGACAATTGAAATTATATCAAGCAAAAAAGCTTCTGCACAGCACAAAAAAAAACAATAAAGTGAATAAATAACCCAAAAAATGGAAGAAAATATATTCAAACTATCCATTGAGGATATAATGACTAGACTATATAAAGAGCTTAACTTAATAGCAATAAATAAATAAATAATCTGACTTAACCACTTCAGTACCGCGCTCACCAGCCGGGACACCTTGCCCACAGGCGGCACTCATAGTCCGCACAATAGTTTGTGCTGTGCATTGACGACGAATCCGTTTTGCTCTTGTGTGATGAGGAGAGCTTGAAAGCACTGAAAGCTTGTTTTACTTTACAGGCAGCTTTACTTGTAATGTAAATCAGAATAGGTAACATATACATATATGTTTTCATTACGTTATTTTTAAATGTTCACAATTTTATTTTGGGAAATGAAAATTAGAAAAGTCATATCATGGCTGTCGGCTAATGTCACTGTGAGCATTCATCTGTGGCTATTGACTATAGTTGACGCTCAGCTGTGCGCGTTCATCTATAGCTATCAACTATAGTCGATGCCGGAACTGAAGTGGTTAAAAATGGACACAATTCTTAAAATTTACTACAAAGCTACTCTAATTAAGATGGTGTGGTACTAACATAGACAATATAGAGATCAACTGAATAGATTTGAGAGTATAGAAATAAACTCTTACATTTATGCTCAACTGATTTTCAACAGGGATGCCAAGGCAGTTCAATAGGGAAATAATATTCTATTCAACAAATAGTGCTCAGACAACTGGACAGCCATACACAAAAAAATGAAATTGGACCCCAATTCCCACATCATATACAAAAATTAACTCAAAATAAATTAAAAAACTAAATGTAAGAGATAAAACCAAAAAAACTATTTTAAAAGTGGTATAAATTTCCATGACTTTGGATTAGACAATGGTTTATTAGCTATGACACTGAAATATAAGCAACAACAGCAGAAGATAAATAAATTGGGTTCATAGAAATTAAAAACTGTGCTTCGATGAACATCAATAAAGTAAAAATACAACTCAAAGAATGAGAGAAAATTTTTGCAAATCTCATAGATAATTTTTATCCAGAATATGAAGAGTTCTTAAAAATAAAAGTAACCCAATTTTAAAAATTAGCAAAAGATCTGAATAGACATTTCTCCAAAGAAAATTACAAGTGATCAATGTGTACATTAAGGATACCCAGTATCATCAGTTATTAGGAAAATGCAAATCAAAGCTGCCATGATAAACCACTCACACTCACTAGGATGGCTATACTCAAATAGACAGTGACAAATGTTGATGAGAATGTGGAGAAGTTGAAACACTCATATATTGCTGGTGTGATTGTAAAATAGTACAGCCACTTTGGAAAACAGTTTGATAGACTCTCAAAAAGGTAAACATAAAGTTATCATATTTCCACTCATAGGTGTCTACCCAAGAAAAATTAAAACAAAAACTTTGTACACAAATGTTCATAGCAGCATTATTCATAGAATCCAAAAGGTGGTAACAATTCAGATATCTATCAAGTGATGAATAAACAAAATTTGGTATATTCATAAGTTAAATATTATTTAGCCATAAAAAGAAATGAAGTTCTGGTACATGCTACCACAAAGATATACCTTGACAACATTATTTTAAGTGGAAGAAACCAGACACAAAAGGCCACATATTTTATGATTCTATTTACATGAAATATGTATGTCCAGAATAGGCAAATTCATAGCATGTAGAGACAGAAAGTAGATTATTGGTTACCAGGGATTGGAGAAAGGGAGAATTAGGAGTGACTAATAATGGGTATGAGGTTTCTGGAAGGCAATGATGAAAATGTTCTAGAATTAATGATGAAGAACTTTATGACTATACTAAAAATCACTAAATTTAATACTTTAAAAGAGTGAATTTTATGGTATATTAATTATATGTCAGCAAAACTATTATAATAAAATACAATGAGCAACTCTTCACATCAACTAGGGCTATGCTAAAAAAGACAGACAATAACATGTGTTGGTGAGGATATGCAGAAATTGGAACCCTCATACATTGCTAGTGGTATTGTAATTTGATGCAACTGTTTTGGAAATTAGTCTGACAGTTCCTCAAAATATTAAATATACCATAAGTCACCACATGGCCCATCAATTCCATTCTGAGATATATACTCAAAAGAAATGAAATATACATCCTCTCAAAAACTTGTACACAAATGTTCATGCAGCATTATTCATAACAGCTAAAAAGCAAAAACAATCCAAATATCCATCAACTGATGAATGGTTAACCAAACTGTGGCATATCCCTACCATAGAATATTTGTGACATAAGAATTCAACAAAAATTGATAAAAGCATTCTGAGAGAAGTAATTGACTATATGGAATTTATAACAAAAAGTATTGCATTTTATTAGTCATAGTAAATCATGTACTATACATGCTTTATATCAGCAATATTTATAATAAACTTACGTATTTATACCTATGTATGTATATATAAGGTAACTGTATTACATATACATTTTTTAAATTATTGTCTTTACTTCTTTGTTTCTAACATTATTATTAAAATAACAATATTAGTAAGAATTGATAATAATATGTGACTAAGTGCAATTAAAAGCTAGATTATCAAGATCACAGAAGGAATGCACGAGCAGCCAGGATGGGAGCATAGTAGCTAGTGGAGGCAAAGATGTTAAATGATGACTTTCATAAGCCTGGGGTCTTTAGGTTCACAAAAGCTAAAAAGGGAGTCTCCAGAAAAAGAAAGAGTAATGATCCTAAAACGTTAGAGAATGAAATAATTATATGTAGCATATATTTTTAAATAAATGTTAGAGCCCTTTAGGTTATACTTCTAAAGAACCTTTAGGAGAATAAAATATAAAGACTAATTGTCAACATTCAATTATGGAAAATTGATCAGATTCCAAGAATCACCCCAAATAAACAGAATTTTTTGAGGGGATATGGTTTAAGTAATTGAGAAGAAGAATATAAAAGTATAAAATGTCAAAGTAATACCTTATGGGATCTTTATTTATATTCTTATCCATTTCAACTTCTATTGATTTCACAAACATCTATTTCTGCTTAATGCTACAACAATAATCTGCTTAAAATGATACATTACACATGCTCAAAAGATATTTTTCAGAAGATAATTTTTGAATTTTTGCTTCTTAATGACATACAATTGTTTGATATTTGGGAGGAAGAAAGAGGGAAAAAAGATACCAAAAAATATATATATCTAAAAGCAATTGCTTCTGTATGTTCAGACCATCAAATAGCAGAAAATCAACAAAAGCATGAAGAATTACTCTAGGAAATTAAATATATTAGCACTGGTCCCAATATTGGTCATGAGAGAAAACACAAGGTAATTCCTAAGATTTACATTTTGTTCGAGATATATACAGCTATATATTATAATTCCATATCTGAAATTTATTAATCGATGCTCATGATGACAATAAAAATTACCATTCTGATTATCTCACTTTTTGTTATTGTTATTCCAGGTATCCATTTCTGTTACCATTACTGGAGAAGGAGTATGTGGCCAAAACCATTGTAAATGCTATTTTAGAGGAACAAGTTTATGTATTAATACCCAAATTTTTATATTTCACAATGATTCTTAAACAGTAAGTTAATAATGGCCTCACTTGGTTATTTGTGAACAAATTGTCCAGTCATTACTATCTTGCCTAGAAAGCAACTTCTTATTTTTTATAAATGATGAGAGGAAGACCATTGATAGTACAAGGACAATTTGTTGTACTATTACTAGCTGTGTCTTGGTTACTTCAGACATTGAACCAAAATTTAGCAACTATTCAGCCCTTGCAGAGCACATTTTGTTGCAACACAGAAAAATATAGCACACAAATTGTTTGAAGTTTTTAGTTTGTTTGTATGCTTTTGATTTTGGTCAACAATTTAGTTTGACTAACACGAAGTTCTATTTTGAAAACAAGGGACAGAAAACCAAGTGTGTTGCTTTGCCAGAAAAACAAGTTTGGCAAGTTCTTTGCTTTTAGTGAAAGAGCTCCTACAACTTCAGACAAGGCCTGTGCAATGATCTCCAAGGTATTTGTAAATAGATTCTGCCTAGGCCCATATCTAACATTTATGGGGTGCCTACTATATGCCAGCTACTACACTTACAGCTTTGCATGAATTTGTGTCGCATTTAGAGAACCTGAGTATTAAAGGGAATAAGTAATTGTTTCAGGGTTAAACAGCTAATACATGCTGGGACAAAGTTTCAAACCAAAGTTTCCAATCTAATTACAGAGCTTAAACTCTTACCATCATCCTCTGCTATAAGTGCTAGCAGAATAGAAAGCACAAGCAGAGATTCACTATTATAAAATTATAGTTATTGGTAAATACAATATTTTATTTATATCTACTCAACATAGTTTCTATTCTTCCTTAGCTGCCTTGATTGCTTAGGTAGGTCAAAGTCTCTCATTGTACCATCCTATCATACCTGTCCCTACCTTTTGGAGCACTCATTGCAGCAGTGGTTGCTTGCTAGCTTACATGTTCCCTGAGGACAGAACACATTGACTGAATTGTTTCCTGCTCCAGGCTTGTGGCCCAAGACAGTACCCAACATTTAATAAGCATACAAGAAATATTTGATAAGTTGAGTTGAGTTGAGAGAACTGAGCTGATTTAAGCAGAACTGAGCTGAATATACAGCCTCTATCCTCAAGGAACTGAAGCAATGGATCCTCGCCTTGGGTACACATTGGAATCACTTGGTGAACATTTAAAACTACTGATTCCTGGGCCCTACCCCCCAGAGATTCTGCTTTAATTGGTCTGGCTTTCTTTCTAGATTTTGCTACCATTTGTTTGTTAGTCTATGAAATAAAAATATATGTAGTCTTTTCACAGAACTCACTGAGTGTGATATATGGATAAATTGTGGTCTGACCATTGGGACTTTTCAGAGCTCCAGGGTGATTCCAAAGTGTAGCCAAAGTTGAGAGCCATTGGCATTGAGGATGTTGATGGCACTCAGGTGTGACATAGCACGTCTCTGTTCAGCCCTCCCACTAAGTGATATTTTGAACTGTGTGTAATTTGCACTTAATCTTTGCAAAGTATTCTCTTTTATTGCTCTTAAGGAATATAATTTTTTCTCTGCTTTCCTCTAGAATAATATCTCCAAAAATGATGATTGCCCTTAGTGAGTACCTTGGAGCGGACACTTGCATGGACTCTTTCAAAGGGAGAGAGCAAGAAAATGAACTTCAGATTGAAACCAAAAGAAAACACCAATAAATGAAGCCACAAATGTGGTGATCAAAGTGTGATAAGGATAGACTATTTGGAATTCGTCTTAATGCTTAAAGCATTCCAGTCTATCAAGGATCACCGAAGCTTTCACAAGTGCTGACTTTATTCCCAGGACACAAATTACACATCAGTTGTTTTTCTAAGCATTCAAACTACCTATCTAGTCTTTTCTATCATTTTTTAGTTTGATAAGTAAGAACATCATTTTACTTTGGTAAATAAGCCCATTATATTCAATGGGCATTAAATATAATATGTTTCTTCCTCTCTTGTTTATCTTTGCAGTTGGTGGTTTTCTGAAGTGATTACATTTGATTATTTTCTCTTTATTACTCATGTATATGATCTACCATTTATATTGAGGATATTTTCATGATGGTGGGTGGATACTGCCCTTTTGCTTCCAGATGTAGAACTCCATTAAGCATTTCTCAATGCTTGTCTAGCGATGATGGATTTCCTCAGTTTGTGACTGTCTGAGGAAGACTTCATTTCTACATTTCTGAAGGTTAGCTTTACTAGATATAGTATTCTCATCTGACAGTTTTGTTCTTTCAACACTTTGAATATGTCATCCCATTCTCTCATGGTCTGTAATGTTTTTGCTGAGAAAGCTGCTGTTAGTCTGACAGGGAATCCCCTATATGTGACTTAATGTTTTTCTCTTGCTGTTTTTAGAATTCTCTCTTTGTCTTTGACTTTTGATAGCTTGGCTATAATGTGCCTCAAAGAGGACCTTTTGGGTTGATCTTTCAGCTTCCCATATCTAAATGTCCATATCTATCCCAAGACTTGGGAAATTTTCAGCTATAATTTCATTAAATAGGTTTTCTGTACCTTTTTCTATCTCTTCTCCTTCTAGAAATTCCATACTGTGAGTATTTGTTCACTTAATGGTATCCTATATGTCCCATAGGCTTTCTTCATTTTTTAATTCTTTTTTCTTATTTTTAAATTTTTTTCTAACTTGGTTATTTCAAAAGACCTGTCTTCAAGCCCAGAAGTTTTTTCTTCTGTTGATCTAGTCTATTGTTGAAGCTCTCATTTGTCTTTTTTACTTCATTTATTGAATTCTTCAGTTCCAAGAAGTTTTCCATTTGGTTCATGCTTGTGATTTGTATTAATACCTCTGTTGAATTTCTCATTCAGATCATGAATTGTTTTTATAATTTTGCTGAATTGTCCATATGTGTTCTTTTATATTTTCCTGAGTTTCTATAAGATTATTACATTGAGTTCTTTTTCAGGCATTTCATCAGTTTCCTTTTCTTTGGAGTCTTTTACTACAGTATTGCATTCCTTTGAAGGTGTCCCGTTTCTTTGCTTTTTCATATTTCCTATGTCCCTATGGTGATATCTGAACAACTGTGGAACAGTCACTTCTTTCAATTTTATGGAGTAGCTTTTGTAGAGAAAGACCTTTTTCCTATAGATGTGTCCTGTAGTGTCAATTGGGTAAAGTGTTTTGGCTATGTTCTGGGTGGACACAGTAGTGTAGTCTCTTTATAATTTCTTTGGCTATAACCAACATTAGCAGTTTCTGTGAGTGCCCCAGTGGCCTAGGCTGCAGTTACTGTGGTGTGGCTTTGCTTAGGGCAAGGATGCCTTATAAGCCAGTCGTTGGGCTCTAGGGGGATGTGCACACGCATGAAGCATCTCTTCTGCTGGAGGGGTTGAGGTCACTGGCAATGGTAGCAAATCTCAGACAGGCTGGACCTCAGGCCCCCAGGGTTGTACATGGGCATATGGTGGTTTTACCAATGGAGAGGGCATGCTTGTCAGTGACAGGGCCTGTCTTATTATTATTTGTCTAGTCTAAGGAGAGTCTTTTATTCATTCCCTTATTCATTCAATTAATATATATCTACTTGCTACCTACTAATTATGGTACTAAAAATATAGAGCTGAATAAGGAAGTCACTTAATAAGGTACAAAATCTTTCTAATAGCTATTAGCTACACAGGAACTTTGGGGTTGATTTGGTTTTACCTGTTCCCTGGTTAATATTATTGAAAGTCTAAATTCTCATTCTCATTCATTAGGTTTATAATATTTAGAAACTGCACAGTATATTCTTCTGTTACCTTTCATTTGTATTTACATATTTTGGATAAAATGTTAACAAAACCTTTTGCCTTTCTGCATAAAATTTTCTTTTAGGTTAACTTCCTAGCTGTGTTCCCCTGGTAACCCAGTAAGCATCAAATGTCAAATATGTTTCTAAGCAACATTGTTTATGATAAAAAGAATCTCTGGTTGGTAATTTGCAATCAACTGGGAGAAGTTATAAATGAATTAGAAATACTCAATGAGGTGGGACACCACACTTCGGGCTTCCATGGGCTAGGGATTCTGGTAACTTGGAACTTGGAAGCTGTGCTAATGGAATTATTGGCTCTATGGGACATGAGGGCAAGTACTCACTTGCCTTGTGTGAGTCTTCCCACACTGAAGCTGGCATGTGAAGAGAAAACCTGTGCAGACCTATGTGTTGACTGACTGCTGCATGGACTGCTGCAAGGCCTACCCCAGCAGGTGGGAGGAATGCCCAACACCACCCACTGACACCTGTGGCTCCTTCTCCCAGCCTCTGAGCAGGCTCTCTCTCATGCTTGTCTTCTGAGTCTGAATGTTAACTTGAACTTTAAAAGTCTCCCTAGTGGGCATTGTACTTTTTCCTCCTGTTTTGAAATTTCAGAACACATAGCAGCTGTCCATGTAACGTTTCTCTAAATCTTCTCTTATGCTTATGAAATCTAACAAAAGTAACAACACTGAATTGAGTTGGTCTGCAATTTGGTCACTTCTATTATTTCCTTCCAACCAGTTCGCAAAAAGCATATGGATATGATAAGACTTTTAATGCATAACTCCCACCTTACTAGCAGTCTGTACTTAAAACACTTCACAAGCATGTCAGTTTGGAAAATTGAAGATTCATGTTTACATTAGCACAATACTATAATTGTTAGTTTTTCTCATCCTACGAAAGTCTTCCCAGTCCAATGCAGTAAAAATAGTCTGAAATATTAAAAATTAAAAATATGTGAAAGCAGTGTTTAATAATGAATTAGTCATTTTAAAGTCAATTGCTTGAAAACATTTTAAAAACTGATGAAATATAAGTTTGTGATGACTCTAAAAGAGACTACTTAGAATCTCCAACAGCCTTTGAAAAATAACATTTTCTTTTGCCTGAGTTCATTTTTTCAAATAAGCCTTTTCTTTTCTTTTCTTTTCTTTTCTTTTCTTTTCTTTTCTTTTCTTTTCTTTTCTTTTCTTTTCTTTTCTTTTCCTTTCTTTCCTTTCCTTTTCTTTTCTTTCCTTTCCTTTTCTTTTCTTTAATACTGAAAGGCAGCTTTTGGCTTAACATATATGAAAGAGCTTTCTAATAATAACAGTTGCCCAAGATAAAAATGACTGTTTTGAGTGTTAATAAGTTTGCTATTTCTGAAAATCAAAGGAGGTTAATGATTAAATTTTCTGACCCTTTCCAATCCTGAAAATCTCTAAGAGTAATAGAATCACATAGGGCTTGTTCTTGTAATAAGTCTTTATTAAAAAACTAAGTGTACAGCACAAATATTTGTGAAATTATTAAACATACTTTTGACTCACAAATAAAACTCAGTAACAGAAAAAGAAAATTAAAAAAGCTAAGGATAAATTTGCAGAATTTAGAAAAAATAAACAATGAAAGGTAAGTAGAGACGCCAAAAAGAAAATGGACAATATCTTTTCCTAGAAGAATTATACCTTAGGATGAAACATGCTTTTTCTGGGAGGAGTTTAAGAAGCTTCTTGCAATGAAGAAAGACCCCATCCCTAGCCCTGAATCAAGAAGCAGGACTGAGAAGAGTAGGTGGCCCTTGACTCCCCACTGGCCTTTGGTTCACTCTGTTGTGCAGGCTTAGGGCTGGATCTGAATTGCTTAAGACATTAGAAGGGTTCTTGAGAGACTGTGGGGAGAAAAAAAAATTGTGACATGCTAGCTAGAGAAAAAGAAACTTTCAGGGAAGCCCTGAAATGGGGGCTTTATTGTATTTCTGCTATGTGTTATGTGATACGGATTCTGTTTCTCATCTATTCACAAAATTTTTCGATTAGTGCCCTATTTAGATGGATCTGTTTGGGGTGATGTTATTGACAAAGTGCTAAGTATGGCCTTTGAGTCTATCCAGGGTGAAAGCAAAGTTGGCCCATAAAAGCTCCAATATCTGGATCACATGATGACAAAGGAAAAAAAATACTGGGAGCAAATCAAAGAAATGGTGAGGAAAGTAAAGCATGGACTATACACAATTTCCTCTCAAAACGAAGAAAAGATGCCTCTAGCAAACACCACGGGGTCAGGAGCAGAAAAGAGGTTTCTGGGGGCCGTGGTTCTAGGCAGCTTCAAGGCGCTGCCAAGAAGAGGGAGCTGAGAGTTGAGAGAACTGCTGTGCAAAGCTGGGACAGGAAGTGCAGGGCCCGGTACAAAATAAAAATGTGGGGCCTCTGTTCAAAAAGCGGGGAGAAAAGGTGCTGGGCAAGGTACTAAAATGTAAAGCATTTTTCTTTTTTTTTTTTTTTTTTTTTTTGAGTGGGGCCACTTGTCTTCTCTTTCATATTTTATTTTATTTTTTTTATATATATATATTAGTTGGCCAATTAATTTGCTCAGGCTGGTTTCGAACTCCTGACCTCGAGCAATCCGCCCGCCTCGGCCTCCCAGAGAGCTAGGATTACAGGCGTGAGCCACCGCGCCCGGCCCAGCATTTTTCTTTAAAAAATTGCATTAGTTATAAAATAGACTAGTGATAATTCTCATACATGGGTAACAACAGAAACTTATAAATTACAAATAATTGTAAAACTTGGGGGTTCATAATTTTCATATAATACAATAAATAATAATTTATTAATGTGATAACTTGATTGGTCAGAAAATTTTTCAGACTCACTTTTTTTTGCAAATTTACTTGTTAGATCATCAAAATCTATACTTTCAGCAACTTCATGTTCAGTCAATATA